ACAAGCACCAACTTCCTTATTAAGACTCCTAAAGCTCAAGAAATAAAACCAAGACCCAATAAATGGGATAGCATTAAATTAAAAAGCTTCTGCATAGCAAAGGAAACAATTAAGAAGTGAAGAAGGAACCTACAGAATGGGAGAAAATCTTCGCCAGCTATCTAACAGGGGATTAATAACCAGAATATAAAGAATTTAGAAAACTTAACACTAAAAAAAACTAACAATTCACTCAATAAATGGGCAAAGGATCTAAAAAGATATTTCATATATTTTCACAAATATATGAAAAAATGTTCAAGATCCTTAGCAATCAGAAAAATGCCAAACAAAACTACATGGAGGTTTTCTCTAATCAGTCAAAATGGCAATTATCATGAATACAAATAACAATTACAGACAAGGATGTGAGAAAAAAGTTCACTTATACATTGTTGATAGGATTGTAAATTAGTACAACCACTTTGGAAAGCAGTATGGAGATTTCTCATAAGACTAGGAATCGAATGGCCATATGACCCAGCTTTCCCACTTCTTGGTATTTATCCAAAAGAACTAAAATCAGCAAACTATAGTGATATAGGCACATCAATTTTTGTAGTAGTACAATTCACCACAGTCAAGTTTTGAAACCAGTCCAGGTGCCCATCAACAATAAAATGTGGTATGTATACACACAACCATAAAGAAGAATAAAATATCATTTGCTGAAGAACATCACGCTAACTGAATAAGCCAAACTCAGTCAAGGATCAAATGTTTACTGTCATATGTGGAAACTAGAGAGAAAAAAGGAATAAAAAAGGGTGGATTTCACAAAAACAGAAGGGAGATCAATAGAGTAGAAGTAAGGGAGACCAAGGGCAAGGGAGGAGGGGAGGCAAAGGGCAAGAACTGGGTAATAAAGTTGAGAGTATCATGCTATATGCATGAATGGATATATAATAGTGTGTTCCAATTTTATAAATAAGTATAATGTACCAGCTAAGTAAATAAGTACATAGAAGGAAGACCAATAGAGTAGAGAGATGGAGGTCAAGGGGAGGGAGAAGGAAAAGGAAGAGCACAGTACTGAGGATTAAAATGGAAAAAACCCTATGTATATGCATTTACGAACGTGTCAAAACAAACCCCATTATTATGTATAATTACAATGCACTAAAAATTTTTAAAAAATTAAAAAAAAGAATTCATTCAGCTATTCCTGTGTTATGGAACAACTGATTCCAGGGCTTTTAGGGCTAAAATAAATCCTTTAATATTACACTGCATTAGCTATCTTCCACTGGTCCCCATTAGATATGAGTTTCTTGTAGGCAGAAAACATGATGGTTACTGTCCTCAATTCTCAATATCTGTTATAGTTTGAGCATAGAACATATACACTCAAAACATGCTTCATGAATGCATGAATAAACCCTGGCAATCATAACATTGATTGCCTTTTTCACACTGATCCTTGCACTCAAATTCACAAGAAAGAGGTTGAACTTTCAAAATTAGTATATTTTATTAACAAATGACCATGGGGTGATCATTTCTAGTAGGGGAAGTAGGCCAACTTCTATAAGATCTTGAGAAGATGAAGATGCATCCTCTCTAACATGACAAGAGCCAGGGTTAGGATTGGTGGTATTGGTGGTGGTAGTGGTGGTGTGTGTGTGCCTGTCTGTGTGTGTGTACAGGTTAGAGGAGGAAACTCAAAGAAGAAGAGTAGTTTTGTGGTGCAAATATTGTACCAAGACATCTAAACTATAACAGAACAAAATGATAACTTACTTTTGAATTTAGATTTTAGCTTCATGGAAAAATATGAATAATAAGAACAGCCTATATGCCCTATAGCACAGATTATCTTGTATAAAAAATCAAAAGAGGTCTGTGTTTTAGCTTTTACTCTAATTAACCCATTTCTTAATCTAATAGCTAACAGAAGCAGACTCAGAATTCAAACTATATTAAACAGCTAAATGCTATTAGCTTAGATTCAGGAGTTTGAAAGGACACAGGAAGAAGGATGGGGGAAAAGATCTGATTCTGCCACAAACAGCTGTGGAATCCCAGGCAAACCTGTTCTCTCCCGGGGCCTCACTTTCCTTTCTATGAATTAGACAGTGGATCTGGTGACAGCTAAGTTTCCTTCCAGATTTAGGATTACATAAACCTAAGCAAAATGAGAGTAATAGTCTAGGGTGACAATTTCAGATTAAAGAGGCATGCTCATCATCTTATATTTATATAGTCTGAGAAACCCTGCTACAAATTTATTTTGAGAAAGCAAGTAGTTGATTTTCTAAAATCAGCATACACCAACTGGCATTGGTCTTATTTGAGTGCTCTAGATGAATCAAGTATCTCTATGAAAATCCTAGAGTCAAAACTGGTACTGGGGGGAGGAAAGACAAAGGTAGAAACCTGTTGAGTCCTTTTTGGTGAGGATTCTGTTTAGGCTTTGCTAGTCCATTTCATGTTCTTGCCTTTTTTGTTGCTGTTGTTGTTATTTTTGTAGGTTGGTTCCTATTTTTATCACATTGCTCGAGAACAAGGCCAGGGACTCTTACAAGTTCTTTCCTTCTGATCTTACTATATGCATGACTCCTATTTCTTATTCTGTGTCTCTTACAGTCATTTACATGCTGAGGTCAGCCCTCTAAATACTAGTTAAGTATTAACTGAATGTCTGGAAACCAAATACCGTATTTGTATATTCTTAGGGATTTTATCTGGAGAATTTCCCAAGGAAAGTTAAGTATTTTTGAATCTCATTTAAAAGAATTTTCTCCTTTCCACACAATCTTCAACTATTACTTTCTTATTTTGTCATCATTTCTTTCTTTAGGAGTTTTTTTAATATATAAAATATATATTGGATATATATATATATACATATATATATATATATATCTCCATATATAAAAACATATGTAATGCATGTATATATATATCTATATATATATATATTTTAATTTATTTTTTAGTTGTAGTTGGACACAATACTTTTATTTTATTTATTTATTTTTATGTGGTGCCAAGGATCGAACCCAGGGCCTTGCACATGCTAGGTATGAACTCTACTGCTGAGCCACAACCCCAGCCCAATATATATATATTTTTTGGTACTGGGGATTGAACCTAGGGCTGCTAAACCACTGAGCCACATCTCCAGACCTTATTTTATTTTTTTATTTTGGTACAGGGTCTCACTAAATTGCTTAGGGCCTCGCTAAGTTGCTGAGGCTGGCTTTGAACTTGTGATCCTTCTGCTTCTGCCTCTCTAGTCACTGTGATTACACACACATACTACCACACCTGGTTGATGGTTATATTTTTATTTGGCATTTATGCATAAAGATTTGAGTCTAATTAATACTATTTTCAAATAAGTGCATTCATTTAACATAATATCATAGTCCTTCATTTAAGTTTGCCAGTCTTCCACAGCTTAATTAAAAACCTATTGCCAGTATATTTTAATCAAATTTCCTCTAGTACATTAACAATATTCTAAACATTCAATTTTTAATAAGATACCAACATTCAGTAATTTTCCTTCCAGATTCATTCTATAAAGCCATTTCAATAGCATTACCTTATTTATCTCTATCCTATTAATCCAACTGGCTTTTTTCCCTGTTTGCTATCCCAAGATCAAAAAATTTTTGTATCATGAAGACCAGCAATACAACACAAGTAAGGAAAATAGAAATAGAAATATCCACAAATGAGGTTAATTTTTCATCATATTTGTGATGTCACTGCAAGACAAATTCTAGAGTGGTTCTCAACAGTGTCTTTACAAATTACAGTGAAATGCATCAAAATTGTCTTCTGAAATGCAGTTGACTAAATCTGCATGACTAAATTTTATTGTTTGTTGTTTTAATCTTGGGGCTCCTGAGGTTCTCAAACTTCTAGAATAATAAGGAACTCTATGCTTGTCAGAGTGGCTGGCAATTCATGGCCCTAGAGAACCTGCCACCTTCAGGAAATCCACTCCCCTCTTACTCCTGGTGTGCCCACCTAATATTCAGGAAAGACAACTTTACAGCCAAGTGGAACCAAGGACAAGTTTAATTCAAGTACATTGTTTAATATCTATAACACAAACCTCCTGCCAGGAGGGGAAAGTAGTTCAGGTGAAGAGGACATGACCTCAGGTGAGCATTAGATAAAATTCTGAGCTACATGGGGGTGGGGGAGAATAGAGAATATAAAGGGTGTGGGTGTGGCTTCTCGAAACAGTACATAGATTTTTTTTTGACCATTACATAGTTATTACTTCTCCCCTTCTGGCTCTTGGCACCTACATTACTTTTAAAAGTCCAGTCAACACTGATGAAGTTTGTGAGTATTATAAGAAGCTGGTGCCAGCAAGAGGAGCATGGTATAGTTGAGCATCAGGATCTCACCCAAGAGGTGAAGGACAGGAAGGAATTTTGAATTCAATTAATTTTTTTCCCCTGGTAAATCAGTGAGTTTTGCAGGTCAGGAGCAATGACCTTTTAAGGCCTGAGAAACAGTTGGTGATGAGATACCACAGAATAGTATTTCCATTAAAACTTTTGGAAAAAAACCCACATAACTCTTTAGAATAATAATGATTTTAAATCAATACAAATAAAATCAACATCAAGCAAAGTAGGAAATGATCGGGCATATTTTCTTCTCAGACTGATGGTGAGCAAATATCCTGGGCTTTGGTCCATATACTCAAGATGTATCAGACAAATGTTTCCTATTCTTTTGCAACCTATGCTAGCAACTTTACCCTGTATCATAATATTTTAAAAGAATAACTTGATAAAAGCAGTGACCTTTAAGTAATTTAACCTAATAACATTTCAAAAATCTATTCTTAAATGTAGGGTATTTCAGTAGTGTGGCCACGAGTGTGGTCTAATTAGAACACATGCTTCCTTGTTATAAGGTGGTGCCTTTGTTTTCCCAAGCTGGATTGCTTACACAGTGCAGACCAGAGTAAGAAATGCCCCATTGCCTACCTGACATAGAGGGAGCGTTTCTGATTGGTTCGCAGGGACCCAGACCCGGAGCTCATGCTGTGGTTCATCATCTGCTCCCGTAGGTCATGGATTTTGGCCTCAAATCGAGCGTAATCTGGGAATGGAAACAAAGATGATAAATTTGGTTCTGTTCCTTCAGAGAGAGAGAGAGAGAAAGAGAGAAAGAGACCCTGAGAGGGACTGCATTACTGTTTAGCCAAGGCAGCTACTCATCCCATCCCTGGTTCCTTTGCCAAGCAACAGGGAGATGCTTAACTGCAGAAGAGTATACTTGCTCGCTATTATTTTTTCTTCACAAGAACTCACAAGAGAAGAAGAAATCAGTTACTTCACAAAAGTCACCAAGAAAACACACTGCCTTCAAACCCCAGCTTGTACAAAGTCCACAGGAAAGAGAGCAGGAATGGAAGGATGGGGGGCAGGATGGGAGGCTGGTCATAAACAGGCAAATGGCATTCTCCTGGTTATAGAGATGTTCTCTATTTTAGCTGCAGTGGTATATATAAGTACCTGTAGATGTGATTAAATTACATAGAACTCTATACACACACACACACACACCCCAAGTAAAAAGTGAGAAAATCTGTATAATACCGATGAGTTGTTTCAATGTCAGTATCCTGATTATAATGTAGTGATAAGTTTTGAAAAATGTTATTATTGGAAAACATTAAATAAAGGTTATATGGGACCTCCTTATAATATTTCTTACAACTGCATGTCAGTCTATTTATTTCAAAGTTTAAAACTTAGTTTATGAAAGAGAAAAACAGAAAACAAGCCAAAGGAATTCCCAACCCTGTGAGGTGTTGAGTCTCCAGTTGCCCTTAGCATGATAGACTAGAGGATCACTATTTGGATGATTGAATAAAAAATGTCATTTAGTTTGATTAAGTTTTTTTTCTGAGGAGGGCTACTAAAAGTTGACCACTAGGTATCATACCTCAACTGTCCCCTAACTTTGCACACATTACCAAACTTCATCAATTTTAAGATGTGCAATATATTTGAATTAGGAGAGAGATATTAAAATAGGGATAGAAAACATTGTTATGTTAAACATATTTTAGAAATATTTGAACTTGAAAAAAGTACATATGTTCCAAAAATCAAGGAAATAATAGGTATTGTATCATGCTACTCATAGGAAAAAATTGCCATTTTAATCTAATAAAAAAGATAGCACAAAAAAGTTTTAAGATACTTATTAATGAAATTATCATGTAAAAATAAAGTTTTTGAAGTTTCAATATTCTTGATCACAACCTAAACATTTTTCTATCATGGCCTTGGCAGAGGAGTGCCTTGCTTTAAGAAAAACCAGTAGGAAAAAATGGGCATAGTGGCACCTGCCTGTATTCCCAGGCTCAGGAGGCTGAGGCAGGAGGATCACAAGTTTAAGGCCAGCTTCACCAACTTAATGAGGCCCTAAGTAACTGAGCTAGATCCTCTTTTTAAACAAAAAATAAGAAAGGCTGGGATGTAGCTCAGTGGTAAAACATCCCTTGATTCAATCCCTAGTATGAGAAAGAGAGAGAGAAAGAGAGAGAGAGAGAGAGAAGAAAAACCAGTAGGTGAGAGGCTTAAATTACCCACAGACAAATGTGAAAATGTTAATTCAAAAAATAAAATATTATTTTAATTACAAAGATGCTCATGATGAAGAATTTTTATAGAGGTCTTCAGTATACTTCAAAAATCAAATTGATGTTCAGTTCAATTTATTCACAACTTTTCATGAAAATAAGGATCACTAAATGAATATAATAAAAGATGATCTACTTAGAGAGTGTTTCAAGTTCTTTATTAAGAAGTCCCATAAAATTAAATTAAATTTCAAATTACTGAATATTTATTGGTTATTACAGGGTGGGCTTTCCTAAAAAACCTGATCAGTTTCTGACAATAGACAACAGGATAATAAGCTCTAAACGTTAATTATGTTTAAAAGTTAGTGCTCTAAAGATAAGCCATAAGAGTTGGCTGGTAATTTCTGGTGCTTAAGCAATGTCTGGCTTATCTAAATTTGGATGGTTTCCTGTTAAAACTTGGCTTTGAATAATTAGGTCCTAAATGGTTAAAAAGCAGAACACCTATTTAACATACACTTTACTCCCCATAAATTAAGACAATTTACTTTATTCCATTTTACTAGCAAGAAAAAACATTGATTTATCTCCATTGATATGATACTGTTTGCAGATTTAAATCATTTTGAGCAAGCCATATTCTCTTGCTACGCTAAAAGAGGCAATTAACATTTATTGCTGGCCACATGGCAGACTATGTTCAGAGCTTCTTGGGCCTTATGTCATTTCTTTATGTTACAAAATTAAATCCATGTATGTAAAAAAATTTGAACTACATAGGAAAACACAGAATGAAAACTGAAAAATCCTCTTATGCCTTCTGCCTTTCCTTACCTTCTTTCTCACTGTTGTACTTCCCCATACCTCACCCTAAACGGAATGCGTGGTTTTATGTTAGATATGTTTATGGGTTGTGCTTGTGTGTATGTACCCACATATGTCATGCCTGAGACCATGTCTAGATGTTGTGCTGAGATTTTTTTCCCCATTTTTAAAGCAGTGTAACATGGATCTTTTTTCTATCTTCTATCAAATATATAAGTATCACTTTAAAAATATCTTTAATTATAATCCCGAGTTTAGACTAATTTAACAATTCCTATGTCATTAGATACTAGGCCTATCCAGTTTTTTGCTTCATAAACAGGGATCTCAGTGTATGTGTGCACATTTATGTGTGCACAGAACCCATTCAGTCTTTCTTAGCATTTCCCAGAGAAGAGCATGATCTTGTCTGAGACACACAGCATGAATTCTTAGCTTCCTCTGATCCATGCTCAACAATGCTACTTGATAAATATCACCTATCACCCCAGGTACCTCTAAATCTCCCTCTGAAGACATTGGACTTTCTCCTCTACAAACCTGATGAATTTACAATCAATGATAAAATCATGAAATTCCTCCATCAGTGCTACTTCCCTACTCCATTTGATCAGGGTGCTACTTTATTACATTTATCATACCAACCTGCAGCTATTTCAGCAGTTGCCTATCTTCCCATTAGACTGAGCTCTCTTAGGTAGATGCCCTATTTTACTCTCTATGGAATTCACTGTGCCTAACATAGTATCTGACATGCAAGAGGCATTTAATAATAGGTGCTCAATACACATTTTCTGAATGAATGAATGAGGAATGAGGGAATGAACAAAATCATTAGATTAAAAAAAACTCCACTACAAAAATGCCTGCAAGTATTGAAATTGCCCATTTTCAATGTTATGTTTTATAATGAAGAAAGACAACATGCATGTCCTCTAGTACTAACTTTTTCTAGAATGAAAATGCAAATGCAACATTCTAATCCCTTTGTTATTTTTACTGTTCTCCAGGCAGTCTCTGCTCTTCTCATCTTAGTCAGATCACACATTGGAAACATTTCTCTGATATTTAATGTATTAATATAGCCAGCATTTTTCCAGTATTTTGTAAGGTTGTTTTTTTAGGTTCTTATAATTAAGACAAACAATACCACAGAAAATACTTGGCTTAATAATAAGTTGAATTTTCTTTACCCGTATGGCTCATTAGATACCCAAAATATTTTTGAAATGCTTTTGGGATGTTTGTCAGGACTCATATTCTGGAATTTTTAAATTCCCCACAAGAAATGATTTATTGCATTTGCTAAATGTGCAATTCATCCTATTCTTTACTTTTCCATTTTGATGATTATCTTGAACATAAATCTTGTGTTCAAAGGTATTTATACCTCTCTCTGCTCCTTTTTGAAAACCAAGACTGAGGTATTGTCATCAGAGCAAAATCAGATCTAGGTTTACAAATACAAATGGTATATGTTTGCAGGTGGGGAGTTGCTTATCTCTAACTTCTCAGAGATCAACAAGTTTGCATTTGAAGTACTCTAGAAATAAATAGGAGATTTTAGTTACATACATTGTGAAATAATAATACTGAAAATTACATTTTTAACTAGTCAAAATACAAGAACCTACCACATCATTCAATTAGCCATCCTCTTTCCCTTTCCAAAATGTTTCTTCCCTATCTATAATCTCCCCCTTGGAACATTTTTTCAACTGAATTCCTAATACTCTTTCTCAATTACAAACTTTATGAGAACATTCAAATTAGGATATAAAGAGGAATTACTTTATAATTACTAAGCACCTCAACAGGCTAGGATCTATACCACATAAGTTATAAATATTATTCCTAACAAAGTTCCAAGATAGGCATATTATTTTAGAGATAAAGGAAACAGGTTCAGACAGGTTAACAAACTTCATCAAAGTCACAGAGCCACTAGGTAACACAGCACAATGGGACACAGAGCTGGGATTTAACCTTGAATACCTGTGAATCCATTTTGTTTCTATTACTTTACAATGCCACAATTCTTCTCTTCTCTTCTCTTCTCTTCTCTTCTCTTCTCTTCTCTTCATCTACTCTATTAATTATGTGCATGCTGGTCTTCTCTATAGCACCCTAAGCTCCTCGGAGTTGAGATGCCTCATTGATTTCAGTTCCCCCGATCTGAGATGCCTCATTCATCCTCAGCATTCTACATTATGTGTACGTAGGACTCTAGTAGGCACTTTGCGTATAGTTATGAACAAGACAGAACCTTAAAGAACTTGCTTCCAGAATGGAACACTGGCAAGGAAGTTAAGTACGATAATGCTGAGGTGGAGAACAACATTAAAGAGGCAATACCTATTCTGTCTGGCTTTGCATGTAGTAGATGTTAGGTGAATGTTTTTTTACATTACAAGTTATTTATTTCTTGGGGTTTCCTCTGTAACAGAATCAAAATACTGAAAATCAAACTTCTAGGCAAATATTTTTAGGAACATTACCTTCAGCTAATTTGTTCCCTCCCCCTTTATATATAAGCCACATTTCATTTCTTTTTCTTTCCCCTTTCTTCTTTCCTTCCTTTGCTCTCTACATTCTTAGGTACTAAATTTGATTACCCCTACCTAGATATATTATTTGGGGGATTTTTAACTTTATTTTTTCATTTGGGCATGATGGGCAA